GTCTGTGTTTCTTCCTCATCTGGGCATGGATTTGGGGTGGGGCTGGTGGGGGGAGGTCACTGGGGGCAACTGGGGAGGGTGGGAGGATCCATCAAACTCCAACGTGCAGCTTCTGTGGAGACACAGGTGGGATTGTCCAACCTGGAGAAGGGAAGGATCCAGGGAGACCTGAGAGCCCCTTCCAGGGCCTAAAGGGGCTCCAGGAGAGCTGGAGAGGGACTGGGGATAAGGGATGGAGGGACAGGACACAGGGAATGGCTTCAAAGTAAAAGAGGGGAAATTTAGATGGGATATTGGGAAGGAATTCTTGGCTGGGAGGGTGGGGAGGGGTTGGGATGGAATTCCCAGAGAAGCTGTGGCTGCCCCATCCCTGGAAGTGTCCAAGGCCAGGCTGGAGAAGAAAAGGTTCCAGGGAGACCTGAGAGCCCCTTCCAGGGCCTGAAGGGGCTCCAGGAGAGCTGGAGAGGGACTTGGGACAAGGGATGGAGGGGAGGGACAGGGACCACGACAGCGACGAAAGAGGCACCAAAATGGTGCCAGAGGGGTCGGGGAGGGGACGGAGGGGATGGAGCCAAAGCTGCTGCCCCTGCCCGGGGTGGGGCCAGCGATGTCACCGCTTGTCCCGCGCCCACCCTCGGCCCCTGGTGCACCCCCGGCAGGATCAGGACCCCTCCTGCCACCGAGCAGAGGACGGGGTGCGGTGACACAGCTCGGCCGCTGAGCGGGTCGCGTGTGTCGGGTCGGCGTCTCGCTGGTTGAGTTCGGCTCCAACCCTCCTTCCAGGCTGATATTCCCGGTTTTAGGAAGCTCTTCCTGGCTTCCCATTGCAGACGCAAGAGGGCAGGGCGGGACCGCGGCATCGGCCACCGGGAGGGACCTCCCGAACCTTCCCGGGGGCAGCGGGAGCAGCGCTGGGAGCGGGGCCGCTCCCCTGGCACGGGAAAACAGGGAAAACAGGGAAAACAGGGGCCTGGGGGCTCCGACAGCCCCTCCAACAGCTCCCCGGGCTCCGGTGGGGGGGGAAAGGTGTGTGCCAGACCTCCCCAGGATTTGGGGTCTCCCCCTGGAGATGGGGCAGCGCCCCAGGATTTGGGATTTCCCCCTGGAGATGAGGCAATGCCCCAGGATTTTGGATCTCCCCCCAGAGATGGGACAGCTGCCAGGATTTGGGATCTCCCTTGAGACATGGGGCAGCCCCCCAGGATTTGGCATCTCCACTGGGATATGGGGCGGCCCCCCAGGATTTGGGATCTCCCTTGGGAGATGGGGCAGCCCCCGGGATTTGGGATCTCCCCCGGGACATGGGACAGCCCTCCAGGATTTGGGATCTCCCCCCAGGGATGGGACAGCCGCCAGGATTTGGGATCTCCCCCGAGGGCCTGAGGGCCACCAAAGAGCAGAGCTGGAGCTGGGTGGGGTTAGCACAGTGCAGCTTTATTTCCATGGAGGGGGCAGAGCTTCTCCCTCCCCCGTGGGCTCCAATCCCTTCCTCCAAACCTTCCCGCTGGCCCACGGCCACAGCCCACCCCGTGGCCAGCTGAGCACCCCTGCTCCCCAGGCACGGACAGAACAGCCTTGATCCCCCCTCGGCTACTTCCACAGCCCCTCGGATTCCCAAAATCAGGACGGCCAGGGAAGGGCCAGCCACCCCCAGCGACCCCCTGGGCACGGAGAGGCCACCCAGGTCCTGCTGGAACGGGGAATGGGGCACCGGGGGGGGGGCTGCCAGGCCGGGGCTGGCTGAGGAACATCTCCTAGGCGTTGTGTGGGATCTTTGATCCCTCCTGGATCCACTGTCACCAGCCGGGCAGGGACGGGGCACCGCGGAAGCAGAGAGCGGCTGCGGGGCTGGAGGCCGAAAAAAAGGGGGCTGCACACACGGGGGGGGGGTCTCCACCTCCCCATCCCTTTTTAGGGGGGGTTCTTGGGACTGCCACACGGAGAGGAACAAAGCCAGCACTTGGGTCTGGTGCCTGGAAACCCCCCTGACGGACACAGCTCAGCTACAGGGACACACACACACACACACACACACGCACTGGACCACGGGCAGCGCTCCCCGGGGGACACGGACTTGGGGGGGGACGGCGTGGGAAGGGGCAGGAGGAGGGGAGGGGCAGGAGGAGGGGAGGGGAGAGGGTCAAAGCTCTGCTGTGGCACCGGGCAGAGTCGCCCCGAGCGGGGGCCGAGGGCAGGTCCCGCCATGCCCCGTCCCGTCCCCTCCTGCCCCGCGGGCAGGGCGGGCACCGCGCCCGGAGCCGGCTCACCCCTCCGACCCACCCCCCCCTCTCTCTCCCGGGCTGCAAAGAGAGAACCGAAAAGTGCTTAGAAAAGAGAGAAACCCCTAGAAAACTCCCCCCACCACCACCCTCCACCTCTCCCCGGCCCAGAGCCCGAGCTCAGCTCCGCGGGGCCCGGAGCATCCCCGCGGGAGGGAAGGGGGGGCCGGGGCCGGGCTGGGGGGGCACGGGGAGCGCCCGGGCTCGCCCCGGCCCTGCCCTCTACACCAGGGCATAGTCAAACTGGCCCCTCTCCAAGCCCTCCTTGTGGTCGGTCCAGGAGGAGGCGGGCATGCGGCTGTAGGGGTCCAGCAGGATGCGGAAGCAGCGAACCATCAGCATCACCAAGAAGACCAGGAGGAAGATGACGAAGGCAAAGACAGTTTTCTGCTCGGCGTCCATGCCCGCGGCGCCGGCCGGGTGCTCCACCAGGGACGGCGAGAGCAGTTCATAATCCATCGTCGATGCATCATTCATGGCAGAGGCGGAGGGCGCGGGGGACGGGAGGGG